AGTTGCTAAGTCCAAGAGTTATCTATTAGGATGCCTGCGCTTGACACGAATTTAAACAGGCTCTGCGGCCTCACTATCGTACCTCCTCCAGTGTATCATACCGTGGGGACCAGGTACCTCGTTCCATTGGATTTTGATTTTCTTTACCATGCTTCTGTCGAGATCTTCGTATGGACAGTGCATGGATTTTCTAATGTTGATCACGTTTCCGATGTTAGCAGTACACCATTCTTGGCAATGTCGTCGACTATTTCCAAAGAGTTTTCAGTCCATTCTAATGCACTTAAATTCATATTTAGATAAAATGACTTTAAACTATGAAATATATAGACAGATTAGCCAAACAATTGATATATTGATTTCTAGCGTCACTCAAAGGCTGAAGGGATATACATATGTATATTAGTATGTGGTATAAAATATAAAATGCATATGTATGGATATACATATTTAAATAGACTGAAAAGGTGACAATGAATTTGAGATGAGATGTGTTCGCTGGCTCCGTGCGCCTTACTTATTCAGTCACGCTGTTATTTTTTTTTTATTATTATTTGTTGTTATGTCTACGTATACACATAAAAACATGTACAGACATATTAACGTATTACTTGCTGTCAGCACTTTTAGAGTAGCATCTTAACTTGAATCTCATTCTCAAAGCCAGTTATTAATACAACCAAATTTACATACTGTATATACAAAAGGCCAGTTCAATTTACGTGTATATATAAATATGCATATCTACGAGCAAGCGCTGTGTATCTGTAAAGTAACATTTTCCTATCTTTTATGTGTGCAGAAAGAAAGGAAAACAAATTAAAGAAATAAATAAAAGAAAAAGTGTAAGTTAGTACAATTAAGCGGCAAGGCGAAGACGACGCTTTGGAGCGTAAAGAAGAATAGTCAAGCTTTATAACGACTTTCATAATATACATTACACCTACTATTACTACATATGTAGCACATAGTATATTTTAGTAAATTTATATTTTTTAAATATGTATGAGTTTTGCGCCATCGTGCATTTATGGTTATTAGTGTGGTGAATAATATTTGTTCCAGTTATCAGATTTTTATTTTATTTTTAAATTGAAAAGTGTACCCAAGTGCTATAGTGAGTAGGTTATTAACTTCTACTCTGAAGGACGGTGTATTTGAATTAACATTAGATTAAATTATGATTACGTAGACATCTTTGGCTAGACTATTAGCTCTTGTCAACGAACTTAGCTTATTTAAAATTTCAGTCATTAAAATACGTACGTAATATGTAACCTACATTAATAACTTTTGCAGTGAATTTCAAGATAACTTATGTAAATAAGTAATACTTGCGACGTTTGTAGAATTGATAGCTCTTTTTTGTCCAAAAATCATTGATTAACTCAAGGCACAACCATTTTAACTCGTGGGGTATAACTGTACTTTTCGTTTTTCGAAAAAAAAGTGAATTCATTTGTTTAGCTTAATTTTTTCGCCTTCAAAATAGCTCCTAATTGAGCACTTATGAGCGCTTCTTTTAATCGTCGAAATACTTTTCAAACTTGACTTTTGCGATAGACTTTTATGCTTGTAAAACGACTATTCCTTGTTTTGGAAATAAGAAAAAGTCACACGGAAAATTCGAATGAATGTTGGTGGAATTATGTGATATAGTTGTCCACTTTTCTTTTACTGTTATTGTTAAGTATGTTTTAGAGAAAAGTTCTGCAGAAATACGTGTTCTTAGATTTTTAAATAAAGGCAGTCAACTGGAAAATACAATACCCGAATAATCGTTTTTATGGGAGACATATGAAATAAATTCTTAATTTATTCCTTAAAATCTATATCATACAACTTAAAATAATTCCCCTTGGCCACAATACACTTGTTTTAGTTTTTTTAACCCTCGAAACAACTATTAAAGTCAATTTCCGAAATATGTAGCCTTTAATACCCGTAGCGATTCAATTAACTCAAAACGGTTTCCCCGGAGCGGGTGCTTGAGTTTGCTGAATAGCCTGAGGCGAATAAGGTGGTTGAATATTTGGCGAAAAACTCACGAAGAAGCAATGCAGTATGCGACGGTAAATTAAGGTGGTACAAAAACCAACAGTTTTCGGCCCATAATTCCAGCCTCTTTTTATACACTTGCAACCTGTACATTGCATCTAGAACTAATCAAGACAGATAGAGGGTTATGTATAGTATATATAAATCATCAGGATCACAAGATCCGTCCGTCTGTGCAAGCTGTAACTGAAGTAAGTGAGGGGCATGGCCCCGTCGTCTAATAAGTTTAACGTACATATTATCTAAGCCAATAAAGCTACAACAACCAATTTTACCCAGCTCAAATAGTACAATAACTAATACCAACAGTGTAAAATTTAAATCGGACGATAAACCCGATCATACCCCATATATCGGTGCGGTGAAAAACTACTAAAAGTGTCAATAACTAAATACGCAAGAGACGTAAGAATTTACTTCCAAGATGGTATGAGAAGGCTTTGTGGGAGCTGGGGTAAAAGTTGGATTTTTAAATTTTGGGCGCATTCACATATCTCCGAATCCATCTGAACGATTTGGACAAAATTTGGTACGTTACTTTCTTCTCATATTCAAATCGGACTACAACCAATCCTACTTCACATAAAGCAAATTTTTAAATTCCATTTGAATCTTTCACTTTCCAGTGTACAAATCAAAAAGTAATTAATATAACGACATACAACTTTGCACTAATAATTACTTTAAAGTTTGCCACTTTATGACCAAAAATTTCCAAAATTCAACCAAAACTGTTCAAGGCCCTAGTTACTAAATATGTGGATTCCAGTATCTATAATTAACTTTGATCCAAGACTCGTTAACGCGACGCTTTTTCTTAAATTGAGTGAGTTTGAAATTAGTCACGCTTTCACATTATTTAAGGCCAAAATGATCTTTCGAAATGGTTTTCATTGATTCTTCGAATATTACAACGATGCCTGTAAGATGTCTGACTGTTAATCATCGACTCTCAAGTACCAATTCCAATTCCGAAGGCCTTTTCCAACATTCTTCGTTTCGGCATCAGAAATTTATTCTGCTTACAAAATTAAATGGAACTTCTTTGTTGAATATGTTCACTTATCGCCAAATGCACTTCACGTACTCAGTCATACAATCCTAGAAAAAGATATTTCGACAAAAGCCCTACGTTTTTGCTCATAACTATTAAATTGAATTCGGATATCTAAAAAACTGAAGAGAAATTTTAAAATTCGCTGACTTGAAACAATTGACAATTGGGCTCTCCAAAAACCGCGAAATGATTAATTTTATTTTAAGCTGAATCTAACGTTTCTTCTTATTTTTATTTATATTTATTATAAATTACTAATCCGAAATTGGTTATCAAAAAATGTGTTGGCTCACTTTGCTCTATTCCCATATATTTCTTTAGTCTATGTCTACATGAACTTTATTTGGAGTTCGTCATTAGTTTATGCTTAAATTTCGGCCTGTTAAGGCAGTCGATAAAATATGAATCACCTGTTTTACCGATAATAATCTCGTGTGTCAGCGCTATCTATCAAACTCACAAAATGTCACCGGATAATTATTAGGGCACATTTATCATTTCAGCATGCATTATGTTTGGCGATATACATGTCTAGTTCAATATAAGGTAGATCTTTGTTTGACCAATCGTGTAAATGAAACGATAATATAATTTTTTCGTACCATCTTTCAACTTTATGAAAATATATTAAATACATATGTACTTCCATTTGATTTTTTTTGGTGTACTTGTGTCTTGTCTCTAAAATACACATTTAAACATAATTAAGGGCGTCCTTAGAAATTCTTTCACATAAATATTAAAAAATGCCCTTTTTTAATTTCCACTACTCACTCGTCAACGGATAGTTTTACGACAAAAATTCTCGATTTTGCGGTTTCAAGAATTTCGACATTAGCGCCATCTATCAGCCACGGAATGTATTTTATCGAGGTAAGCGAGTTCAACTTCTTCATTAATTTTGTTTTCTATACGGTTTCAATGACTTCAACGTAATTTGTTTCGACCAAGTCAGCAAGTTGTTCGATCAAAGCGGATTCAATGATTAGACCCAATACTTAATAATCACGAACCTTATTTAGGTTATTATTCTGTAAATAGTATATTATATATCGAATAGCTACAAAAGATTCAGTGAAGGTTTCGAAGTTATCGAAAACTTGCCCCATGCCACGTCCACCTCTGTTAATGATCGGAGAAATGGCAGAGGATCTTATGGATCCATTGAATACATTTATATTAATGTTATGGGTAAGAGCGTGTTAACGCTGGACTCACAAGGAAAGACATGAATCTTTTGCAAAAACGACGTTGAGTAGAGTACGTAAAAAAATGCTAGACAAAGTATCTGATGATAGAAATGGCACTCCAAAATGAGCCGTAACATAAAAACCAAGATTAGTCGCACTGAAAGAAATCCCAGCTGAGACTATTACAAGCGTATGTAAAATTGGATTAATTATTGGTATGAAAGCTTTGACTCAGAAGCCTATTTTGAAGGTGATATTAAAGATAAGTATTAAAATAATTGAACAATTTGGATCAGATACTTGATCCGTAGTAAGCATTGTTCACATTTTGAGTTTGTTACTTTGTTTTTGTAACGCGAAAAGTCTTATACTCAAGGTGTTGTCAACTTCATACCTATGTAAAAATGTATACATGCATATGTTTGTATACATATTGCGAGATGTTCCACATCATGTTCAGCAGTTCCCACCACAATAAGGTTGATGAGATGCAATACAATAAAATAACAAAAAAACTGAAAACTGAACGCATTGCGAAAACGCAAGCAAAAGTAGTTCATGCATAAATTTTTGCCAAATACATGCATAATTGTTATTGTTGACATTATCAGCAAAGAGTATTTTGTTGTCACACAAATTTAAATTCATTGCAAAAACCACAAGCATTATTCAAGTGCTGATACTTGTATTTTTAGTTGTCGCTTGACGCATTAATCACAGCTGAGAACAGCGCACAAGTGAAATATTTGCTTGAATTGGATCGGAGCAGGCGCATAACTCTGCAACTAACTTGACCGCAAAATATTCAAAAATATCAAAAAAGCCAACAAGACGGAAATTAGATAAATGGGACTTTGTGCGAACACGTCAAAGCAGCATAACTTGTAGAGTGTGAAACAGTGGGTACGTTTTTTGTATATTTTTTACACATTGTATATTAATTTGTTCTTATGTTCAATAAATTTGTAATTTATCAATTTCACATAATTCGATTTTATCAATGTACATATGTATGCCGGGGTTGGTACTATAAAAAGTGGTATGAGCCACCAGACTTCCTTTGAAAAAATAACAGTAATAGCAAGTAAGGAAAGGCGAAGTTCGGGCGTAGTCGAACAATCACAAGGTGTGTGAAATGTTTCGAGATACGAGTATGCATACTTAAATATATTCCTTATTCGGTAAAGCCAACAAGCCTGTTTAGTTTCATTTATATATCTTGCTACACATCTCGATTATTTAGTTATTGTAAGCAACCGTTGGAAGAAGAACGGTATAACAAAATTATAAAATTTTTGTCGAGAGTATACATATTTTAAGCTTTACATGATACTTCCCTCGGCAAAATTACAATTTGTACTATATGTTGGGAACATCAAGAAAGAGCCATACTAGACACAAGCCATACAAGATATATCATGTGTTTCATGACAGTCTCAAGTAGTTCGTTGACAGGTCTCAAGTAATTAGCGTGATGAAACGTGGAATTGATTTCTTACCATGAAAAGTCTAGCATATGTGTTCAGATTTTGATATGTCGTTAAATCAGTTCGAATCTATGTTGTTCTAGTCTTGCACTCCTTTTTTAAGATCTCCGAAATTTTAGATTTTCCGGGTTTTAATTAAGGGTTCCATGTATTTCACGGCTTTAATAATGTTAATCCGACTAATGGTTTTTGAAGTTCAGCCTTGAAAAGTTCCGGTCGTGGTCAGCTATATAGTTCAAACTGTGTCTGTGTTCTGTAGATATCTCGTGGCTGGAGGCGAGGAAGATATCTTCGTCGGGTTTCGGTTAGGGGTCCTGGTATCTGTTGTCGATATCGTTGTCACTGTCAGAGTGTTAGTCGTCAAGGTGTTTGTAGTTGATGTTTATTGTTTTTATTTCATACTAATTTTATTTCATTAATTTAGTCACCAGCTGGGGTACCTCGACACCTTGGCTTAGGGTGGTGTTGGTGCGTTTCCTCAAACGTCCATGAAGCGAGATTGACGTTAAACCAAAGATTTATTCTTCCGGATCCGGATTTGCTTTCCGGAAAATAAATAGAGTTTTAAAAATCGATTTCTTCAAATATCTAAACTAGAATACTGTTTGTGTTTTAATAAAAATCAGTGCTTTTCAATTGTGAAAACAATATAATATTTCACATGACTTGAAGCATAAATCTGACTTTACACTGATCATTACGAAAGTTCTTATTGTTACTTCTATAAGTATGAAAAGATTTACTAATAAGACCACAATTTATTAAAGCTAAATACAAATTGTTCTTTCCCATCCAAACACCCTAAATGTAGGCTTCGCTATTATGGTTGGCGAAACAATTTCGAATTTGCAAGCAATTGAAAAAATTGCCCAGAGTTCATCGTGTACTTCGCGTTCGCGATAATCAAAAGAAAATAAACTGCACACAACATTTCAAGCGTTGCCCTAAACATTCGCGCCTTAAGTATTGAAGTATTTCTGTACAAACGGTACATACATATATAATATATTTATAGTGCGAGTAGATTCACGGAACACAAATATACTTCCTAGTTCTTGGGAATATCGAGTGCATTGAGACTTTCAAAAATGAACTTTAACGAACGTTGTTTACAATTTGAGTGCAAAATAAAAGCAAATACAATTTCAAATTAGAAGTGACAACTTCTAAAAATAATTGCATGCTGCGTACAATTGTAGGCTTTAATTACTTTATACCTAGCATAATTTTTTCACAAAATAGAAGAATTAAAAGTTGAAATGCGTTCTATATTTACAAATTTAACCAATAATCTAACCTAAATTCAATTCATAGAGTGGTCATCACATATTGTACATTTGTATGGTGACCGCCGTTAGAAACTATAGAACTTAGTATTCTTTCTATATACAAGAAACGGTAGTGGGAGCGTTTGCGAAGTCTAATAGCAATGAATTAAATTAAGTGAATCAATTACGAGATGCAGTTATGGCATTTGATTCAATTAAACAGTTTACAGAGTGAAAATAAATTTTGGAATGCATTCAGTGAAGATGACGTACATACCGGGGGTGAATATTTGTGGTTTGAGAAATTGATGTAGTAAAGCGACATTTTACATAAAAACAGTTGACCACTAATTTGTACCGTGAATATAATTAATATCAAGTAACGAAGAACTAATTTCAGGCGCTGTCAGTGACAACTTTTAACAAAGTGCTGTGAAGCATTTCGAAATATCCGCAATACTTTAAAATAGTTTAATTATAAAGGGCAATCTATTTAAAGAAAAAACACTTAAACTTCAAATTTTAGGGAGAAAGTTTATAATCATTCGAAAGAAGATTCCTTGGCATTTATTTTTTGAAATTATCTCTTTCGAATAATGGCCGCGGCTACGTCTCAGATGATCTATCCATTGAGTTGAATTTTCGATGACTCTTTCGAGCGCTTCGACTAATAACTGGCGAATGACACGGGTGATCTTTTGCTCCAAAACCTGAATCGAAGCACGATCATCCGCAAAGACTTTAGACTTAACATATTCCCACAGGAAAAAGTCTATATGTAGAATATCACTAAGAACTTTTCAAGAGCCCATAGATCGAAGCGATGTGGCTTGGGCAGATCGAGCGGCTTCGGTTCTTGTACAAGCTGTATTTTGTATGCTTTCAATTTAAGGTCTCGACGCAAAATGCGCCAAGTTGTTCTATATGTCAGTCCGAGTTGATGCGAACGGCGCCGATCGATTTTACTTGTGTACACTCTCAGCTTTCGCTGCCTGTTATATTTTTTTCACTGCATGCAGGACGTGGTCTATATTATTCAATAATGATAGACGGATAATGTTGACCATAATTGAGCGGAGCGCGTGACACACACTCTCTACAGACCGTGAATTTTCGTAGCAAAGTTGAACGATTTTTAAACGTTTTTCAGGCACAAGTCTTTCCAGGATGAAATGCCCAACAACATAGAACACTTTGAGGATTGACACGACTCACCCGTGATCTGTCAAAAAAAGGCTAATGAAAAATTACCTCTGATTGGATCGCCCGTTAGTAAATAATACTTTATTTACGCTAGCTTTTTATAGCAATGGCCAGCTGCTTCAAATTCTTGCGTTAAGTATCCTTAACGTATTTTTGTGTATCAATTGAAACGTTTTGGTAAAAGTTTTACCAATTTTAAAACAAAAATTTAATGTTTGTACTTTGTTCGAAGTTCGACACTTAAAACACAATAACTTCAATCGATAAAATGTCATGAAATTCTTACTGGACAATCGATAAAGATAAAGCAGATTCTAACGCACCAGTTAATATATCGATGGCGCCACTAGGAGGCGCTAGATTCAAATAGTCCTGTTTACTTTGGAAAGCACCTTGTATGTCGGTTGCCTATTGCAATCCGACGTATTCGTGAAACTGATATAAGTCATAGATTTTCTATAGTAAGATCTATGAACGGGACGTGACGTATGTATTTTTGAAATCTTCTGAAGAATTTATTTGATTTAACACACATTTGTTAGAAATTTGCGACTACTCGTAAGGGTTTGCCCGCATCTGACCCTTGTTGCAAGGCACGGAAATGTAAAAGAGGAAAACCAACAACAGTCCTACGTACATAAAACATTCACTCGTATGCATTTATATGTACATATAGTTTTGTGAAATAATAGAAACTGAGAAATAATGCAAATAACACCGTAGTTCACGCCTAACAAATTCAGCCAATAAAGCATGAAACACAACAAAACTGAGAACAATCACAAACACTGAAAACAGACGTACAGCAATCTGCAGGTTAATTACAGCAATAAAATGCATAGGCGAATGCTTGAACGTACCTATGTACAGTGTTGTGGAAAATATTTTTAACTTATTTCCTAACTATTTCCTTGGCTAACATATTATTCTTTGAAAGTTATCATTGAAAATTAATATTGTGTTGCAAACCTAAATTATATTTTGTTATTACTTTAATACAGTACCAGCCGTTTCTTCTTTTCGCTATTTGCCGATAATTCGAGCTACCAAGTGCAGCCAGGTCCTTCTCCACCTGATCTCTCCAACGTAGTGTAAGTCTTTCTTCTCCTCTACTTCCATCGTGGTGAACTGAATCAAAACCTTCAACTTTTCTCTCGAACACTCCTAAGGTCGACTCACCAGATGATGTCATTGTCCAAGCCTCCGTGCCATATAGCAAGACGGGATTGATGAGATACTTGTAGAGTTAGGTCTTTGTTCGTAGAGAGCCAACTCAATTGCCAACTCAGTTCAAAGTAGCGCCGTTGGCAAGAGTTATTTCGCGTTCGATTTCGATGCTGACATTGTTGTTGGTGCTAATGTTGGTTCCAAGATAGATGAAATTATCCACGACTACGAAGTTATGAATGTCAATAGCGACGTGGGAGCCAAGACCAATTCCTTCATTTTATTGACGTGTTGATCGTCAGATGATGTTGATGGCCGTCCTCTACGTGGTTCGTTGTCAACGCGTTCTTGACCCTCATTGAATAAATTGCACCGATCAAATACACTTGCTCGATTCAAACAAATATCACTGAAAGCCTTTTCCAATATTCTGAATTCCTTGTAAAAATCGACGAATGCACTTTATGTACTTCAGAAAGACAAGCGTATATATTTTGTACGGTTTCTGGGTGTTACAAGCTTCCTGGCAATTATGTATAACTGTTGTATCAGATACATTCAATTGAAGTCTGCTCCCATAAAGCATTTGAACATTAAAACCATATATTGGCGCCAGTTAGAAAATAACAGCTGTACACAATCGAACAAACAAATAGTATAAATCACATAGTATAGATCACATAATGAGAAAGTGATATTATAACACCTTTAAGACATATGCCGTGTATTGACTTGATTTTAATAATTTTGTTGTTACGAATTAAAATTTTTGACAAAA